GATCCGGCAAAGAAATGGCACGGAGCCCGAGTTGGCACAGCTGCACGTACACATGAGCTTCCCATTAGCCCCCCCTCTTCTCTCGCTCTCTCTTTGTCTGTCTGTCTCTCTTTGTCTGTCTCTCTAACTCGCTCTCTCTTTGTCTGTCTGTCCGTCTCTTTCTCTCGCTCTCGCTCTCTCTCGCTCTCGCTCTCTCTCTCTCTCCTGCTTCACCCGTCTCCTTTCATCAACCATCAGCAGCCTTTGACAGCACGTCAATGTTTCAAATGCCAATTCCTTCTTTATTTCAGGAAGACATGCAATTATCATTTTTCAATGTCAGATTTTCCCTCTGTGTTTTGTGTCAAGCAGCATTGATGTTTGTCTTTTTAGAGCTGCTTTGCATACATTGACATGCTGACATTCTTTCGAGGGTGCACGCTTTGATTTCTTTTTGTATAAAATTAACTGTATTTGTAAGTGCATTCATGTTTTATTCTAAAATTTAGATGTATGTTTGTATTTTGATCAAGAATATGTACTGTACCTGCACCGATCTGTATTTTCACCTTCACCATGATTGTGTGTTGTACAGGAACCCTAGCTGTGAGGTGCATCAGGAGCCAGTCAGTCTGAATGTGATTGATCCCACTCTGCACGACACCCTGACCCAGTGTATCAACACTCGCTGTAGCCAGAGATACACCAGCAGGTATACACACTAAGATACACACATCTACAGTAAACATTAACAGCTATAATGAATATAGGAATGCATGTATAAAGTATAACAGTCTTACAGAACCAAACCTCGGCCCGAGGATCTTAAAGTAGCTGGCGGACATGTAGAGCCTTAAAAGTTTTCAGTAAAATCTTAAAATCAATTCTAAAACTTACTGGCCAGTGTAAAGAGTCTAAAACAGGAGTGACGTGATGAGTTCTGTACAGTCTGGATTTGACCATTAGGTACAGAAGCATAAACCACCAGACAAATAAAACGCACACATAAATCTGACATGAGGTATAGAGTGGATTTACAATAAAGTTATATGGCCAACCATGAGAATGTCATGCTCATAAACAGCACAGTGCCACTCAGTGGTAATGAATGGAAAGTGTGCTCAAATCTGTATTTGTAGGCCAGTATAGAATCAACTCTAAATATTGTATCAGTGCATATTTAACCCAGAAACATGACTTTGTGTGTGTGACAGTCTACTGTAATGCACTGTTAAATAAATCACAAACGTTTAATAATAATAATAACAATAATAATGATACTTAGGAATTCCTGTCAGATTTAAATTTAAATAGATTTACCTTTTTAATTGAAAATAAATAAATAATTTGTCTCTGAAAGACGACTTTTTTGTTGATGATCTTTGTGTGTGTTTATTTTGATCACTATATTCTGCGCCCGGTTTCAGTGACTGTTTTGGCGTATTGGACTGTGAGTGGTGCATGGTGGACAGCGACGGTAAGACTCATCTCGACAAGCCATACTGTGCCCTGCAGAAGGAGTGTTTCGGGGGCATCGTCGGTGCCAAGAGTCCTTATGCGGACGGCCTGGGACTCTTAGGTGAGTGAAATGTGGATAAAAATCAAGTACTCACGCTAAAGAACTAGATCCTTTCTGTTGTAAATATTGTGATATTGCGATGTTACAGTACAAAGCAGCTGTGTCCTTCAAAGCCTTCGCAGAGCCTGGTTCCACAGTTAGACATTTTTTGTAATGACTATCCTACCTAATCAGTACAGTAAAGAAACAAACAAGCAACAACAGAAAAAGAAGACAAAGGTATAATTATTTTCAGGGTCTTTGGTACAACAGAAATGTAACTTTCATCACAGACAATCATTATTTCAGCTTGACTGAAACTTTTCTGCTGCATGGTTATTTTTCTTTGGTTCTTCTTTTTTAAGAAGAGAATTGGCCATCTGCCTGCACTTGAATAGTTTTTCCTTGGCATTCCACACTGATGAGAGAATCGAAGTGAAGTAGAAAATGTCTCGGCGTCGCAGCATGAGTTAGGATCTGAGCCCGAGCTGTTTCATATTGGCTTGTTGTCACTTCTTGAGCCGTCTGAAATCCTTTGTACTTTAAACAACCTTCTGCCTGTCCTTCCCTCTCCTTTCTTCCTCTCGCTTTCTTCTACAGATGAGGAGGTGGCATCTCTGAACATGATCAAGAGCGCCCCTGTGGGTCCAGTCGCCGGGGGCATTATGGGATGCATCATGGTGTTGGTGCTGGCTGTGTATGCATACAGACACCAGATCCACAGGCGTTCGCACCAGCACATGTCACCACTGGCAGCACAGGGTAGGAACTGATGGATGTGCTCACACATTTATAAAGTGAAACCTTACAACTTCTAAATTGAAATTGATGTGGAATTCCCATAGAGGCACCATGAACAAAAAAGACCCACAGCATCATTTTCTGCATTTGTGG